GAGGGGGGGGGGGGGGGTGACCGCATCCTTACACCTGAGCCACACGCAGGCCCCGTGTCATTGGGCTCCAGGTGCACTGAGAAACCTGCCGGGAGGTGAGGGTGGGTCCAGAAGGGAGCCCCAGGCCTGTGGGACCCGGGTCCGCTCCTCCCCTGTGCTCTCCTGAGATGGGCACCAGGAGGAGGCAGGAGGGGGTGGGGCCAGTGGAGGTGGAGTCGCTGCTGACTGACAGCTCCATTAGAACCAGGGGTGGGGAGAAGCCCAGGCTGCCAGGTGAATGGTGGTCGCACGGAGCTGGTCGGCCAGGCCAGGGCTGCTTGGAGAGGGGCACCAGCCTGCTGGGCTGGGCTTGAGAAGCAGGCTTGGGGCCCCGTGGCGTGTGGGGGCCGGGCCCAGGCAGGCAGATGGCACCCCTCGGCGGCATGGAAGGCAGATAAGGAAAAGCTCTAGGGCCCAGGGAACCCCTGCCCAGCCTCCAGGCCCTGAGCCCCCCAACTTACACCCCCAGCTTGGAGCCAACGGCTACGTGTTTGCCATTGACTTGAACGGCTACGTGTTGCTGCACCCCAACCTCAAGCCCCAGGTGAGCCATGCGAGTGGCCTGGAGGGGGGGGTGGACCCTGTGAGATGGGGCCTCTGACTTCCTGCCCGGCCCCCTCCCCCCCAGACCACCAATTTCCGGGAGCCCGTGACTCTGGACTTCCTGGATGCAGAGCTGGAAGATGAGAATAAGGAGGAGGTGAGGAAGGAGGGGAGCAGGGGTGCGGCACCCAGAGGGGAGCAAGGCAGGGCCCCACCCTCACGTCTCCGGCTCTTGCAGATCCGTCGGAGCATGATTGACGGCAACAAGGGCCACAAGCAGATCAGAACACTGGTCAAGTCCCTGGACGAGGTGAGACAGTGGCAGGGACAGCGGCAGGCGGACATGGTCCTCCCCGACCCCACCCGCCTGCTGGCCCAGGTGCCTGACCCCCCTCTCCTCCCAGCGGTACATCGATGAGGTGATGCGGAACTACACCTGGGTGCCCATAAGGAGCACCAACTACAGGTGAGTGGGGCCGCGGTGGGGCCGGCAGGGAAGGGCGGGGGGTCCAAGCCCAGCCGGCCCCACAACAGAGTGCAGTGGGGCACCTGCAGCCGGGCGCTCACGTCTCCCCGGCGACGCTCAGTCCCCAAGGGCCTCTCCTGGGAGCACAGGACACACCAGCTGGTGATCCGCCGCTTCCCTGCGCCCCCTCCCGCCCCTCCCGCCCGGATGGTACCCTGGGTGTCTGCACCCCGATGTCTCCCTCAGCACATTCACGGGCCTGCTCTCGGCGGCACCACGCCCGACCAGGTCCCTGTGGGCCAGGCCCAGGCAGTGTCCGCGCCTCATTCACACCCCATCACGGCCTGAGCTGCCCCCCATGTTAGTGCCAGGCTCTCGTGGCCTGAGTCTCTGGGGGCTGCGGACCCTCCTCCCCCAGCAGCGCCCCAGCCTAGCTCACTGACAGTGTTCTGCCCCTGGTGAGCTTGCTGCTGGACAGATGGAGGAGGCTGGCGGGGCAGTTGGTATGTTGGGGGAGGCCGCTGGGCGTGAAGGGTGGGGTGGAGATTTGCTTTGGGGCTGGAAGTTCTGAGGCCTCAAGGAGAAGATGGGGAGTGGAGGGTCCAGGCCCCAAGGCCGTGGCTCTCCCACCGCTAAACAGGGGAAGACGTCCCTGGGGTCAGGGGAGGGGAGGCCACAGCCTGGGTCTCCACCCAGCTCCAAGGCCATGGGGAGGGGGTGCCCAGGTGCCCGCCTCTCCCCAGAGTGACCTGCGCCCCTCCCTCCCCCCAGCCTAGGGCTCGTGCTCCCTCCCTACAGCACCTTCTACCTCCAAGCCAATCTCAGCGACCAGATCCTGCAGGTCAAGTGTAAGTGGCCAGCCCCTGCCTGTGCCCTGCACCCCCGCCTCCGCCCCGCACCCTAGCACCCTGGCACCTGGCCGGCCTCG